CAAGGACAACGTCTTCAGGCGTGCGCACGCAAACGCATATTGACACGAAATTAGCGCTCGTTTAGAAATCAAAAGAGAGATAGCGCCTCTGTTATTTTTTTTTCGCCCACTCGTTGAATAAGCTCGAGAGTAAAAAGCCGGTTATCGGGCAAATCTTTCAAAGGGATAGGCGCCTAGGCTTTGGCAAGCTGGCGTGTTTTCGGCTAATTAGACACGATGGTGAGGGCAATAGGCGTGAAAACCGAATAGCGCTCAATCGGAAGCCGTTTTGCTCTGATAATTGAAGGTAGTTGAAGGCGACCAAGCGTTATTAACACTAAGTCGCCCACTTGGTTTTCTCGCGCTCGACATTGTCGCCTAAAGCCCCCCAAAAAAAAACAAGAAAACAACGGGGTAAAGGGTGTCATTCGCGAACGAGACGGTGCATTACACGTATAGACGCACTATTTCGTATACAGCACGCTCAGACTAAACATTCGACAGGTGCGGAAGCTGCGCCCAAGAACCCGCGACGAGCTCTTTCGGAGCGTGACCCCTCACAGTAACTAACAAAGTAACGAACGCCGCAGTATACTGACCGCGTAACGTACCGTCTGTTGTCGCAACGGCTTTCAGATAAGACACGACTCGCGCATTCCAGCTGCCGCACTCCAAATGCTATTATTTCTCATTCACTCCCTTCACCACCGTACCCCAATAAGCGCAAATAAATAAAAAAGAGCCCCAACGAAATTAGTTGCGAAGCTAAATGCTCCGAACGAAAGGGAAGGCGTGAAAACCGGCCTCATCTGCTATTCACACGACGATTCTATTTACGCTGCGGCGCTGCCTCGGCTAAAGACGCCGCAGCGAGAGGAGTCGGGGTCGGCACGGGTCAGCATGTTGCACGCGAGCGATTAACTGAGGAAGCAAGTGCGCTGGCACTATTAACCGCCGGTTTTCCGCTCGTTCGGTCGCGCACGAAAGAAGGGGACGTTGTCCTATTTCACCCCTCTTGCTTACCAGCTGGACCTTCTCCGGCCAACGTTCCTGTTTTCTGCGGGACGCACGCGAACAGCTGCTTCCGAATCTCGGAACTGGATGCAGTCTTTCTGAAAAGAAGGCCATAAGGTGTCTTCACTCTTCGTAGCATACCACTTGCCGACAGCAGGTGTCCGCCGAGTACGAGGAGATAGCGTGTGACGAGGTGTTCTGCTGCATTGTCAAAGCGTAGCGTAGCTTCCTTAGTGCTGCAGCCCGTACTGCTACGAGAGTACGAGTCTTCGTTTTACGTCTCATTCGCAAGCTTTCGCGCAACTACTTTAGACTAAGTCGTAGCACTGCGGAAGGTATCGCCTCGACAACGTTGCAGAAGATAGTTGACGCCGAGTATAGAATTGAAGCAAAGGAAAAGTATCGTGTGACACAATGTCCAGATAACCCCATCCTAACACTTATATTGAATGGCCATTTTAAACGTACCGATACTTAGGTATATGTCTATAGGCACCTCCTATACTTAAGGATAGCTAGAGTTGCTATCCTTGAAAATACGTTTCGGCAACTCTGCGCGTGTCGTTGGCTTATTGAACTATGGAAGAGGCACCTATGTGGTAGGTATACGTTTAGTCTGGCAATGAGACTGAGGAATAAGACTAGAACGGGTGAAACAATAAGACATTTTAACCTTAGTTCCCGCGCTTATTGAATATATCAGCTCTTATGTAAGGGGCATGGTGGCTTGGAAACAACATTCGTGAACATTAAAGGACACAAAGTAGGGAACACTCAAAATGCTTTCTGTGGTGTAACTTCCAACAACCGGTCGGCACACCGGACATAAGAGCGCGGCCATGTTTTGTCACGAGAGCTGGGGGCGGGTCTCTTGAGTTAAAAACCGACCGAGCCAGAAGCTCGAAAACGATGTCTTGTTATTTACCTATCTCAGGCTACATAACACCTCCGAGACGCGGAAAAGTGTAGCTAAGATTGTTCGTCTGTCGCAAACAACAAGGTACTTACAGTTACCGTCAGTACATGAAAAGGGTTACTTGCCTTCTAAAAAAAAAAAAAGAAAAAAAGAAGCAGTAAGCATTTGAAGGCAAAAAAAAAAATGACTGAAAATCTTTTTTGCGACGCTGCTTACGAACGAAATGACTTCAACACTCTCCATGAAACGTTCGTGGAGTATGGCAGCAATGGAGAGAAAAAACGGAGAGTTTCACTCGTTTGTGTGTCATGGCGAGTTGTTATTTTACATTCCTCTATGAAGTCTAGATCATGGCCTGACGTGTTGCCATCGAGGCATTGCAGCGTAGCGAGACGCCCGAGCACCGCTGCCTCGGCGCCAGTCCCAAATTTCCAAGCCAAAACCTATCTATCGACAGGTAATAGCCGTGCGCAGGAGTTCGGTCCTCCGCGAGTGCTCGGAGCCCCTAGTTTCCCCATTTACGGCACCAGCGGGAGCGAGCGACCCCCGTTGATACTTCTATCAGGACCGTAAAATGCTAAACAGGCAGTCACCCGTCCTGGTTCCGTCCCCGTCTAATTTTATCGCCAAACGCGATGGTCCCGATAAACGACAAACGACAACGAACAAACGAGCAAACAAACTCCAGAGGTAAACAACGCACGGGCGGCACCGGCAGCAGCAGCAGTTGGTCGACGACGGCACGCCGTGCCTCGCTCACTGGCGGATGCGATCTCCCGCGGGGAAGCCTGGGCGTTTGTGTGTGCGGCCATGAATTATTCATCGCGAGTGGCATGCAGTCGCGCCGAGAAGACGCGTGTAAGGGCAACCTGGCAATTGGGATCGGCGGCGGCTAGTCGGAGGAAGACGCGGGGAAGGCGTCCTTAATTCACAATTTCGCGATTATACACGGGTGCCTCCCCGGGTGACTCCGTGATGTTCCCATGAGCCTGCTTATGCCTTTGTGAACGCCGAGTACGGACGTGCCGTAGCGCGTGTACCGCGTGTAATTGGCGTCCACGCCTGTTGGCGTGGACGCCAATTGAATAATAATAAAAAAAATCACGCAAGAAATGCACCGATACAAACCACCCCCTTTACGTAGAGAACAACTACGGAAGTGCATCTGTTGTTTCGTCTGTGGCTTGTTCAACAAAATTCCACTGCGTCTACTTTCCCGCAAACCACTCGGGAGAGCAAATCGCTGCAATCTACAGACGAAGTTCGGTTAATGACAGGCCTGGAAATGCTTTTAGACATACCAAGAAAGGCCTGCGCTGTGTGACACTCGGCGTGACGTAAGCACATAAAACGCCATGCTCAATGTCACAACGCATTTTTTTTATATATATAAACGTATTTTTAGTTTTGTCATTCGCTGAGCCTCCCCTGTAGATTACAAACCACACGCAGTTCACTGTTGACATGATTACGCAAATATCTGAAGAAAACATGCTTCGAAGAAGCATGTTTTCTTCATGCACATGATGTGAACATGTCTGCAGACAGCTTTTGCATGACCAATCTGACCGTCATACGATGAAGAAATACGCCCCAGACAGTGTCGACAGGCTGTCTTTTGTATGGTGTACATTGGCGGTGTGACCAGCGCCGCTTTACGCTCTCAGTCACTTGGGCACATTCTGCACTTTATTCTTAACCATGATACGTTCCGCATACACAAGCAAAAGTTACGGTCGTCGAATGCATTGCCTGAAATGAACGGGATCGGTTTAGTGAGTCGTGCTTGCGGTGTACATACCCGCGAAAGGTCAAAGCCTATAGAAGGGTTGCTGGCTCAACCTGCATTATGGTTCGCTCGAAGGTACTTTGCGTTTCCCCTGGACGTTACAGACGCGCACACTATGTTGACCGTTTTGCTTCGTTTATAAAGAGTGCCGCAGCAACGCGTGCCTTAATAGAGTCCACAGTCTCTTTTGGTGCGGACGGTGAACTTGTTTCAAAACCGGCTTTACCGAAAAAACCTGCACAACAGCTACGAAAACACGAACATTTTCTCCTTGCCGTCTTGCGAAGTGTCCGCTAAAGCGGGACGCATTAACTAGATCGCGCGGGGGACACCCGGCACGTGACCCGGGGTCACGTGTCAGCTACATAACTCGCGGTCTAGTTATCCGAGAGGCTTTTCTGTCGAGCATCTCCCTCCCCACATTGTGTACGTTGACTCGGCGCCGTACTTACATGTGTTCGCACTCTGCCGCGAGTCCCGTGTGCGTTGTGTCCCCTACCACGTTCTCTACGTGGGTGCTCCGCGACATCGACATCGGCGAAAATGCGTCGGAGGCCGACAGTGTGCTATCGGAGGCTGCCGATCTCAGGTGTTCTTTTTTTATTTTTTCTATTGATCTTTGTTTCGGCTTTATCCGTTTATTGCATCCAATACTTCGATGTCTATTGATACAACATAGCTACTCCGTGACGTCACTAGACCGGGTGTGTAACCTTCGAAAGGAACTGGAATCTGGAGAGCCAGAACCAGAGCTGAACTGCTGAATACTGAAGAGGCATCCGACCAAAGCAGAACTTCCACTCAACGTGTTTCTGCGCGTGAAGTATGACTGAACAGAAATATCACTCAAGACGGGATAGTATCGCGGGTTCATTTCTTGTTTCTAGTATAGGCTGAGAACAAATATAGTCAGTGGCAGAATGAGAAAGGCAGGGCACCTCTTTCAGATACACGGCCTCCTGCACGCGCTCGTTACCTACCGTCCTTTGGCTGCGCGCGTGCGCACTGGAAGCTGAGGAAATGCGCAAATGTTGTCGAAGATCGAAGGTATAGGACGCTCGCGCTAGGGACGGGACAACAAAAAGACCTCCCTGTTGTTCCCATCCTGTCTGTGGCTACGGTATGAAAGCGACCACCTCAGAAACTCCAGAGGCTGCTGGCTTTTTTTTCTCGGTCTTTGTGCATTCAAGAAAGTGCCCTTGTCATCCTGTCAGGGACAGGTAATAGGTAGACAATCTCTCAAACTCCAGAGGTTTCTGGTTTCTCAGGTCGGTTGTTTTGTCTCTGTGCGGTCGCAGGAAAGTATGCCGGAACTGCAAGTGTCCCCGCGAGGAGCACCAGGACGGACCCCTGGCGGCCAACCAGGCGGAAGTGGACCGGCTGCTGCAGAAGGCCACGCCGCCGCCCTTCCCGTCCCAGCACCCGAACCACACGGGCGGGAACAGCGGCAACGAGGCCGCCCAGCGGCAGTCCCACTCGGACGACGACAGCGGCTGCGCGCTCGAGGAGTACACCTGGGTACCTCCGGGTCTCAAGCCCGAACAGGTGCGTGTCCGCGCGTGCCTCAACTGTGTGGAATTGACTGCCGGGCCATAGACGCACCTCATGACTCGGTACAACGGAGTGCCTGGCTCGAAAAGCGTTTGAAAACCCGAAAGAACGCCCACCCACGGCGAAAAGATAAAAGGAAAAAGATGCGAGGATTTCGGGACGCTGATTCACACGAAGGTTTGAAGTGTGTGTGTTGCAGTCAATACAAAGGCTTCTGCCCATCTCTCTCTCCCCCCGGCCCTAACTTTTGCTGAGGCGCAAAACCGTCCAGTATGAAGTGTACTTGGAATTTTCACTCCTTGCCGTGTGAGGATTTCAAACACTATTGCGCATCTTCTGTAGTATTAGTTGAAGTATGCAGATTAATAAGCCATAATGATTGAGTAGGATTCTGCGGCTTTGTAACATTTGTCCCTTTCGATTAGTACGGTCATCTGCATATTTCGAATGTTTTCTTGTAGGAGACCACGTCAAATTACGAAAATTATTTTTTATTAGATTCTTTCACCAATTGATTGTTCGTAGATTTAAGATGCGAATGAAGTTCTCTGCGAGTGACGTTTTTAAGCTAAGTGGGTCTTTTAGCTTCGCGTTTTTCTTTGAAGTTTCGAATTCGCGTAGCGATATTCTGCGGTTTTGTTTCAATTAAGTGACACGTCTGTTTTTTCTAGGAAGAGGTAAAAAAGATCAATTTTCAATTATCTCCAAGTCATTTTTCACGTTTGCCAAAAAACAAATCTTAAGAAATTTTAATTTTCTTTTAAGAAAACCGTGTTATCTTCTTTTTTCGATAAAGTAAATTCGAAAGGAAGCGCGTCAGGTGCTTGGGAATTTCGTGACTTAACATTTCGTGTCGGTATAGTGCATGCATACTTCTCCACAGGTTGATAATGTCTTCTTAAGAATAACGTTTTAGAATTCTTCAGAATTTACGTTCGATTTTTCTCCCCTCTCATTAATCAGCCACGCGGTTTATACTTTCAAGATCTCTTGCAAAGACCTTCGAGTTCTTGTCTTCTTGATTTCTGCTTCTGTGGCATACACACCAAATACCATGAGCACCGGCATTTTTTCCATATAAAAACACCCGAAACTATACGTTAAAAAATTATCATAAAACTAGTTCAAAACATTAAGCCGGGGTCGCATCATACAAAAGACAGTCTGCGAACAGATTCGAACTTAAGTCACCACGAGATCTGTGCTTCGAATGCCGCATGGTAATTAAATTAAAAAAAATAGTTGACACGCGGCATTCTAACTATGGATATTACGGTGACTTGTATTTGCAGACTCTCTTTTGTGTGATGAATAGGCAGTGTAACCCCGGCTTTACAGAACAGATTTCTGTACAGCTCTGCATGAACGGGGCATCATGCGCATGCCAAGAAACGTGGCTCATTGTTTCATTACTAACTGACGGAACCGATGGGCAGGTCTCATAGTTACTCGTACTATCTAATATTATATATATATATATATTCTGACATGCCAGCGGGAATAATGACAGCGGACTGAGCGAGCTATGTTCATCGTTGTTTAGCTTAAAGCGAAACACTTAAGACTACTTACGTGTAGGAATGCGAAACCATTCTTACACGCAGCGCATTCCTACAAGAGGCGCGCCCCGTCTTCCTATCGCACATGGCGCTCCGGCGGTGACATCGCGCTCCCCCACTGCGCAGGCGTGGCGAACCCCGCCGGCTCCACGGCTTCCGTGACGATGCATCTGCGTTGCTCTGCTTTTCTTGGTGTTTTATTTCCGAGGCGCGTCCGCTTTGACCTTGAGCCCCCCGCCGGCATCCGTGACGAAGTATCTGCGTTGCTGTGCTTCTGTCCAATGGGAATAATTTAGGTGCTCTTTCGCTTAGCCAATGGAAATTTAGGTGCCGTTTTTTGCTGCTACAGACAACGCCGGCTTCGCTGAATTAGCAGTTAAGGCTTTCGCATTAATAGTCAGCTGAAAAAAATCCTGAATGCGCCGAGTCAGCTGACCATCTTGTTATCGCTCCTCAGCCAATGATATGGTAATATTAGCGAAACGACCAAGAACAAATAACGAAGAAAGCAGCGTTAATATAATAAGCAACGCCCGGCGTTTCTGCAGCTGTCGGTGAGAATAAGAACGAAAACTCGCATACATAATATGGCTGCCTCGGCACTGTCGTATCCGTCTCCACTTAATATCCTCGGTACACGTCGAAGCCATCGAAGCGAGCGATCATTTCCACCTTGCTGTGCACACCACTCAGCGTGTGTATCGCTCTGCGGTATAGCGGTAGGCGGTTTGTTTTCCCGGGGCCCACGCTTTGCTCTCCGGGCACACGCACTTGATCCTTGGAGCTGTCCGGGACAATGGATGCCTCGGGCACACACTCGCGCTGCGCAAAAGGTTTCTCGGGAGGCGAAAGTTGATTCAACCGGTTTCCCAACGTTCCGAGTCCACGGACGCCGCCGTCGGCAGTGCCTGCCGCGCGGGAGAGCGCAGAGGCGTTATCCCGGGCGATGTCTCTTTGGTTTCGGTTCGGGGGCATCACGGCAACGTCGGGTTCTAGAATTTGGATACCGGATATTTTATAGTTAACGTCGAAAGAATGCATATACTATATCGCATGAAGGACGCAGCTCCAGGAGACTATATATACAGATTGCATGCATTGCAGGCTCGTAGTTTCGGGTGGCGCTCTTGCTCGTGCAGGGGAGGAAGTATTTTTGACCTGTCTTCCGGACATTGTAGATTTGTGTGTGTGTGTGCGGGGGGGGGGGGGGGGAGGGGAGGGGGGGAGGGGGAGGGGGGAGGGGGGTGGCATTACTCGTTACTTGTTAAGCAATTTGTTTAACCTGAGCAGACCGATTGAACTTTCAGCACTACTTATTGCATTTGTGTGTGTTTATGTGTGTGTGCTAATAATAACACTTTTTCTAAGCGATACCAATAACATTTTTGTTATTTTTATTAGGAGGGTGAGTTAACAAAGACGCGGGGCTTGCTCTGGAATCAAGCTGCTTCATTATAGGGAAACATCCGCTGTGTTATCGAATGATGTTAATGGGAATTAGTGGTGATTCAATCCTTACAATGTACACACGGAGTGTTCACAGCGTATTCAATGCACTCTCACAATATGGCTCACAAGTTTACAGATCTCCAGCGTCGCACTCTGAATTGAAAAGAAAAAAAAAGGAAAGTGAGCTGCTTGTACTGGATTTCGAGGACCTTGCCCAGTGACGCGCGTGTTGTTTAAAATGGTATTTCTCTTCTCTTCAAAACTACAGCTTTTTCCAATGAAATCCTTAGCCATACATATCCTATGTGTTGCGAACAGTAAGCATATAAAAGTGGATTTCATGTCACTACCAGGTTAGACAGAAGTTTCCGAAACCGCCGCTGGAGGGTTTTTTCCTTCAAACTATCTTTACGTCGCTGTGTTGGCAACCGTTCCGTATGACATGAGCGTAAATGTCGAATTGATATCTCAAAAACTCTGGCTTGGACAAGCATGCTAGTTGAGCAACCATGAACATTTTCAATGATGGATAGAAACGAAATATGAGCGGTCATCAATTTTTTTGTTTTTCAATTTGGAGTGAAAACCTGCGGCGGAAATCAAATCCAGGTTGAATGCAATTCTTAAAAACTCATCACCTTTGTTTGTTACTGTGAGGTTTTTGGGTTTCCGAATTCCAGCGTGGTCGTACGGACACAAGTGATGAACCACGTTCAGGACGTCTAAAAACAGCTACCAGACCAGAAATTGTGCAAAAAACTCATGACTTGGTTTTGGAAGACCGCCGCATAAAAGTGAGTGAAATTGAGGAAGCTGCGGGCATCTCTTCTGAACGAGTTGTTCATATTTTACTTGGGGTCAAAAAAAAAAAAACATTCTGCAAGATGGGTGCACCACCTTGCTCCATCCGGAGCAAAACTTCATTCGAGCAAGAACTTCAGCTGACAATTTGCAAGTGTTTCAGGCAAATCCAACGGATTTCAAGCGACGATTTGTAACTAGGTACGAGACCTGGGTCCACCATTTCATGCCAAAAACAAAACGCCAATCGAAACAATCGACTGGGCCGCGGGTGAATCGGCACCGAAGAAGGCGAAGACCATTCATTCAGTCGGCTGGCAAGGTGATGGCATCAGTTTTTTTTATGCGCCAAAGGAACTTTGCCTGAAAAAGGGAAAAAAGACTATTGCTGGCCTTTTGTACAAGCTATACATAACACTTCTGGATAAGCTGAAACAAGTAATTCAAGAAAAACGCCCAGGAATGGGAAAGAAACAGGTGTTGTTTCACCGCGACAATGCACCCGCCCATTCAGGTGCAGTCACTCAGCAAAAACTGACAGAACTGAAGTTCGAAATCCTTCCGCAACCACCGTATTCACCTGCTTTGACTCCCTCGAATTTCCGCCTATTCTAGAAGCTCAAAACCTTCCTGGCTGGAAAGAGATTTCTGTCGAATGAAGAGGTTATGGAGGCAGTGAAACAGTTATTTTGGGGATCTTGAAGAAAGTTACTTTCGGGAGGGAATTGAAAAGCTGGAGAAACGCTGGACCAAGTTTGTCGCGCTTCGGGGGAATTATGTCAAACAATAAAGTAAAGGCTTCAATTAGATTTATATTATTTTCATTTTCATTCCGTAAACTTTTCAATCTACCCTCGTACAAACGCGCCAGTGCAATAGTTGCTCATCCAAACCAAAGCTGAGAGGGGCATGTTTCTTATGTACATGTGAAATCATTGATCGCTTTTTTTACGCTTCATTGTTATCTGAAAATTTTAGCGCGCGAATCTATTTAATGCCATTATTATTTTGCGTAAGGGTTAGCCCTAGAGATAATAATTTGGTGTACCTTTTCTTTCTAAGGTCTTGTTCTGTACGGCTATCTTTCAATGGCCATACCACACTGTTATGTTAGACGAGCTACCATTCATTTGCTATCCGTAGTTTTTTTATCAACATACACGTCAAAAGTGCAAGGTCTGCGAG